GGGGGGGGGGGGGGGGGGGGGTATCAGTTATAGAAGGGTGAGGTACACTTAACAAAACTCTTGAAATGAAAGATCAAGCTATAAGGTGGAAATAACTTATACCTTATCCAACAAACTGACATGTGCAAAGTACGACCAAGATTTATAATTCTTCAAAAATATTTTATGTCAACGCATAAACCCTCCTATAACTCACATATAACTGAATAGGAAACTCAGTGACAGATAAAAACAGAAAAGTGAATTTTGGCCATGAGGTAATAAGTCTTCAAATCTTCATTAGATAAGAAAAGGCCAGTAGAAGCTATAGGTCTATTAAATTATTGGGAAAAATAAAAACCAAAAGTGGAGAATTAATCATGGGGAGTGTTCCAAAATTTTGTCAAAGACATAATAAAAGTGAGAGTTATCATATTTGTAAAAAATGGAAACAAAAGAATAATCTTCAAAACAGGTACAACTAACATAATAAACTAAAATACCTGCCCTTTCCTAAAGCTACCCTAAATAATGTCAGAACTTCAGTTGAATGTCGGAGAAGTGCAGAATGGAATTTTAATTACTCTAACAATAAGCACTATACAAGAGCTTACATGTCTGATCTGCGACCCAACTGCTTCTGCGGTAAAATAATTTGCACCGAATGGGAATCATTGGTGTTTGGTATGGTGTGGCTCATTATGGCAATGGCCCTAGCAACCTTACCAACCTTCCTGACCTGTTTCAAGATATGCAACATCACATAAGATGGGAAGTGTTGTCTTTTTATCTTATGCTTCAGGCTTCATAATAATGAGAAAAAGAGAAGTATAATGAGTCTGGTTTAGAGACATCATCATGGTTCCTCGACTGCCAAGGCTAATCCACAATGAGATGGATAAAGTTATAAGGCTCCATTTACTGATCGAGTAAGCCCAAAAATACAATAATAAAATATATGATTAAGAAAAGAAAAGAATACAGGCTCACGTTATCGATGGTTTGCATATACAGACCCAATCTTAAAATTAAATCAGTCCACGAAACACACAATGATTTGAATAGAACATTAAAGCTCTTACCTTGTTGGGCAAGTAGGAAGGATCACAGACAACCTTTTTGCACCTGGCAGTTTCCCCTTCTGATGTGACACCAACAACTTTTCCTTCCTCATCGAATTCAACCTAGCATTCAAAAATCAACCCACTTTACCACAAAGAGAGATAAAATTGTTTATGAAATATTTTTACAAAAAAAAAAAAAAAAAAAAAAAAAAAAAAAAAAAAAAAAAAAAAAAAAAAAAAAAAAAAAAAAAAAAAAAAAAAAAAAAAAAAAAAAAAAAAAAAAAAAAAAAAAAAAAAAAAAAAAAAAAAAAAAAAAAAAAAAAAAAACTAAAAACAATGAAAATATAGCCGAAGATGAAATCAAATAGTAAAATTCATATGGGCAACCTTGCACTCAGGTTTGTTTAACATATATGTTCCACCGTAGACAGCACTAAGGCGAGCAAATGCCTGTAAGAAGAGTGAGAGTAGATATAGATTACATAGAGCAATAAGAGGCAGATTTACAAAAGAGAACTAAAATTATACCTAATAATGCTAGAGTAAGTAAATAGACAGGATGAGAGAAAGAGAAAGACCTGTGGAAGCTCCCCTAGTCCATAGAGAGGATAGATGTACGGAGACCCTCCTTGAAAGCGTGCCAGAGACTCCGCATAAAGCTATCAAACAAATAAGAAAGGGGAGAAAAGAGATTTAAAACATGCGAAAAAGAACAGAGTAATTAGCAACTCTAGATGGCTGTCACCTTCATTCTCTTTACTGTATCTAGTGCCGGCTGGTCAAGATAGCGATCATCTCTTTGAAGTGCCAATGCATGACCAATGAAGTCAATGGTGTTGTCATCGAGTCCATATTTTCTGTTAAC